AGCCTCAAACGTGAGGCTCACTGCAGTCACCTCAGTGCAACACCTGTGTGCACCCCTGCCTGCTCCCTCCTTCTTGCTGCCCACCCAGCCTCCCTGCCTCCCGTCTGTCCCGCACGTTCCTCCAGGCCAGGGAGACAGGGAGCCTCCCGACTGCTCGGAGCCTGGATCTCCTGAATGTCTGGGCACTTGAAGGCAGAGCCATGTATTCTGCTCTCAGGCCGTCTGCTTCGGGCCCCTCAGCCGGTCCGGCCTCTTGGGTTTGTCTTCCTGAGGGCAGGGCCCGGGCTTTTCCCCACCTGGCAGCCTCCGCAGGGCTGGCACTGGGCTGAGGTCAGGGCAGAGGTTCTAGAAGCCTGTTCTGGTTCGGTGTTGGTGGCTCAGGAGTTCCCGAGGGGCCGTCCAGCTGGTCTTTGCCGACACCCCTCAGCACAGGGCTTGGCAGGGGCTGAGCGCTCAAACTCAAGAGAGAGGACTGGCCTTCTGGCTCCGACGCAGCCCTGACACCTACATACTTTGTGTCCACAATGTCGTTTGACAGCCACGGGGCCGCAGGGAAGGGCCCACGATCATCCCGCCCTAAAGGAGGACGATGCTGCTCAGAGGGCTGGGGTGACCCGTGCTAGGCCGCTTGCTGGTCAGAGGAGGAGCTAGGACCCCCCCCCCCGCTCCCAGGTCTGTCCTTCTACCCATCCCCCCCGCCTCACTGCCACTTCACCCACTTTCAGGGGGAGGGTCAGGCACTTGCTGTGGCCCAGACAGTGCTGGTGTCCCCACCTGAGCCGGTAAGGGGACGGTGGTGGTGTGTTGAAGGGCTCTTGGAGAGAGCCTTGGGGCTGGAGGGGCTAGAAAACTGAGCCCTGCCTCTGCTGACTCACACGTGCATCCCCGCGCATGTCCCTGTGGGTGGTGGGCCGTGTGTGCATGTGTGCACTGAGGTGTGCACGGACGTCGGCATGGGGGCTCCCCCGCCAGCTCTCCTGCTTTGCCCACCCAGTGCCACTGAGGCCCCGGGACCCCTGAGCAATGATAGAGGGGCTCCAGTAAGGCAGCAAGAGCAGAGCCAAACCCAGAGGTAGCCGGTGGAGCCGCCAGTGGCCTCTGGGCCCAGGGAGGCCTGCGAGGAGGCCCAGGCCTTCTGGACAATGCAGGGCCACCTGGCCGGCTAGGGCGCTCCAAGCGGAGCCCCGGGGAGTGGGGGACAGCTGGGGAAGGGCTGAGAACACAGCTTAAATCTCATGCCCTCATCCCTCACTCTGCATGGAAAAACCTCACCACCTGCTAGCCGGGAAGCGGCTGGCATCCTGTCCCCTCGTGGGCTGTGAAGGAATGGGGCAGGGCAGAAAGCCGCGGAGCTTAGAATTGAGGCTCCACTCCAAGGGAACTGGCTCCATCTGACTCCCTGAGGGTGGAGGGCTCGGGCCACCGTGGTTCGGGGCAGCCGAGGATCACTGAGCGAGTTTCCTGCCAGGCTGGCGGGACCGAGGCACAGAGCTTGTCTTACCCATCATTCTTCCCACTCAAGGTTGACCCGGGAGGAGCGGATCCCACCTGCCCAGCCCCCGCTCGCACTATGGCAGTTCGCCGGGTCCAAAGTGGGTGGTCTCTCAGACCGGCTGCGCTGGAACATACCCTGGAGTTTCCAGGATGAGATGTGCTGACCTTTAGATCATGTTCACTTGAGTTCCATAAACTCCAACCCTCAGACGGACGGGACCCGGGGCGATCATCCTCAGGCCTTGAGCTGAGCTGAGCTGAGCTGAGCAATTCTCAGCTGAGGCCTTACAGGAGGCTCCCTAGGCTGCACTTGGCTCTACTCAGCCCTGAAGGACTCACATGCAGAACCCTATTCCCCAAAGGAAGTTAGGATGGTAGTGCTTAGAAAAGACTATACTTCCGAGCCTCCCTTGCCAACGAGGGGTGACCCTATGACCAAATTCTAGCCAATGATATATGAGTGGAAGTGTTGTGTGCCACTTCTGGTCCCCGTCCTTAAAAGGATGAAGTTTGCCCTCCATCTCTTCTTCCCTTCCCTCTGGTTGGAATGCAGTTATGATGGCAGGTGCTGGAGCAGCCATCTTGGGCCACATAAAGAGGGCAACGCCCTAGGGATGGCAGAGCAACCAGTTGGAAAGAGCCTGGGCGGCTGATCTGGTCCCTGACACTGTGAGGCTGCCCTATCAACCCAGAATTTCTCTGTGAAAGAGAAATAAGCTTTAAGCCACTATTCTTTTTGTCTTCGTAACAGTGGCAGGACCCGTATTCTAAATACCACAGAAGGGACTGTAAAAGACGGGAAGCGTTGCTGGAAATAGACTGGGAATTCCTATCAGAGATCTTAATTTTTTCCCTCTTGTCTTTGTTTGTTTTTAGTCTGGAGGAGGCATCCCTCAGTTTGCAGGTTGAAGGGAAGCCCCCATAGGACTAAAGGGCACCACTGCAAGAATCAAGGTGGGGTTCTTGGAAGCAGTCTGGCTCAGAAGTTGGCGTCTGTAGGCTCTCCCCACCCCATCGTCAACAGGTGAGGCGAGGGCGGAGAAGCAGAGTCTCCTTCCCCACGGATGAACACAACATTTTGATTAAATCACTGACAACTCTGCTGCAGGGCAGAGAAATTTGGAAACATCAGGAAGCCAACCTGTGAAGTCTTTGAAGGAATGTGATTTATGTGAAAATGTGATGAAGCTAACGTGTTTGGCTCCAGCGCTGGGGTGGCACGCCTGATTGTGGAACCCAATCTGATGCCTTCCTGGCTCCCAGCATAACTCTGCTTTCCCCGAACACGGGTAGCTGGTGCTCTGTGTGTATTCCAAACCCAGTCGGCATCTAAAGCTTTTATTGGAGCCGTATTTCCCGGGCTGTGTTTCCGGGCTGTGCATGTCTAACCGGAGCTACGCACACACACACACACACACACACACACGCACATGCACACCCTGAGTGACTGCACCACGCTGCTCTCGTGTCTGGACACCAGGGACTCAAGTGTGATTAGCTTTATGGGGTGTTTGTTGTAGTTTTACATAATTTCCTTGATGCACTGCAGACTTTTAAAAGGCGTTCCCTCACTTTCCAGAAAGGGAACTAGGGTTCTGAGAGGGTGAGTGATTGGCCTGAGGTCACACAGCGAAGCAGTCACAGAACCAGGTGCGCACCTGCAGCTCCTGGCTGCCCGGACTCGACTGGCCTGGCAGGGTGGTGCCAGTGCCAGCGGTTATCAGAGCCATTGCTCCCACCCAGCCAAGGCTCTGCCAAAGAGGAAGTGTGGGCAGCTCTGGGGGAGGAAACCCAAGGTCAAGTACAAGCCCTGCACATTTAGACACCCCGGAATGGAAGGCATGGGTGGGCGGGGCGGCAGAGCAGACCCAGCACCACTGCCCTGCTCCCCAGTCCCTGGCCTGGCCTTGGAGGGGTGCCACTGGGCAGCTCCGGCTCTCAGGGCCTGGACACCGGGGGCCTCTGTCAGGTGCTCGGGCCCCTGCGGAGAGGGGATCAAGCTGGGCCCAGCCACGCTTACCCAGGCCCCCTCACAGATATTTACAGAGAGCCTTCCACGTGCCAGCATGGGGCGGGGCCCCGAGGAGCGGCAGGTGGCAAAGGTTCACGGGAATTAGCTGGGATGTTTCCCAAGTTTCTGGGTGCTCCGCAGAGCTCTGAGGAGGCTTGCGTGTCCTCTTCTGGTTAAGGAGGCTGACTTCATTCTGATGTCTCCCCGGGCAGGGGCAGTGGCGTGGGGTCCGCAGGTGGATGAGCTGCGGGCCCACCCAGGAGCTCATGCTCCGTCCTGAGGGTACCGGGTGGCTTCAACAGGGCGGCTCTGGTCAGAGCTGCAGTTGAGGAGGGTTCCACCGGGCACAGCCTGAGCCTGGAAGGCCCTGGGCCTCCTGGCTTTAGTTCCTGGTGGCGGCAGTGAGGCCAAGCTGGCCGGAGCCTCCCCACGGGCACACGGCTCAGGAGGACAGCATGGGGGTGGACTTCAGCCTTGGGGTCCAGCCCCCAGGCGGGCTGGACCATCAGCCTATTGGGGGTCCACTTCCCTACCCAGAACCCTGTCCCTCCCGACCCCATCCCCAACCTTGTGGCTGGTGGGGGGATCCTCCCATCTGAGTACTGAAGGCTTCTCAGGATGAGCTGGTCACCGCAGGTGCCACGTGGCCTCAGCATGGACACTCAGTGACCGGGCACTCGCTGCGCCCAGGAAAGGACATTTCAGCTGCTCCCTGGATGTGTTTCCTCCCCGCAGCCCGACTTCCAAGGGGGCCACAGGTTCTGGCGGCCGCATTGACCTGCTCCCTGAGGTCTGGTATGATGACAGGTCTTTGCGCTGAGCCTCAAAGATCAACGTTCCGGAACCCAGGGCCCTGTGCCCTGGACGGCTTTCCCCGGGTCTGTTCTCCCTGAGCGCTCCGTCCAGGCGGCAGGAGATGCCACCGAGAGCCCCCGCCGGCTGCCTGTGGAAACCAGGCGCCGGCCACGTCCCGGCTTTGCGGACACGCTTGGTGTTTTGCATTCAGAGCTCTGCTCCTGACAGATGCTCCCGGCAGCGTCACTTTGCTGACAAAATGAAATCCAGCTCAGTTCCCATTACTTGTGTGCCTCCCTGTCTGGGAGCCAAGGGTGCCCCGTGTCCAGGAGCAGATGGGCCAAGGGCAGGAGCCTGGCCAGCCTGGCCGCGGGCCACGGGCCTCTCCCTCCCCGGACTGCCACCGCGCCCCTGTGTGTGGCCTGCAAGACAGAGGTCCCAGGCGCTCTCCACTCTGCTCCTCGCCCACGGGTTTTGTGCTCTGGAACCCACTTTTCTCATCTGTAACGTGGGCTGATATCTGGGTCCTGGCCGTCGCATAGGGAGCCCCCGAGGACCGGGTGGAATTGGGCAGGGTCCTTGTAAAAGCTAAGTTCACTGTCATCCGAGCAGAATGGGGCTCCCGCCCCCGGATCCCCAGGCCCCGGAGGACCTCTGGCCCTGCCTGGGTGGCCCTGGCCGACCGGCCGCGCCTACTCACACATGGGCTTCAGCTGCCCGATGAGCTCCTCCTTGGTCCATTTCACCCACTCCTTCTTGTCGGTGTTGATGGAGCAGAGGACGGGCCCGCAGGGCTTACCGCAGTCCTCGATGGCCGGGACATTCAGGTAGTGCACCAGGACGATGTCGGGGTTCTGGGGGGAGAGCACAGACACTGGTAGCATGAGGGTGGTACGGAGCCTGCCCAAGGTCACGCCAGCAGGTACAGACAGGCTGAGCATCTCCACGCCGGGCTTTCTCAACCTGGGCACCACTCACCCTTGGAACCAGATCATTGTCTGCGGTGGGGGACCACCCAGCAGCACCCCGGGCCTCTGGTGAGGTGCCATTAAACCCCGCCCCCTCCCCCAAATCTCTAGACATTGCCTGTTACCCCCCGGAGGCCAAAACTGGCCTCAGTTGAGACCCACTGCTCTACATGTGGGCGGATTCATGTGTAACTAAGGACCACACATGAAGTTAAATGTACATCTAGCCTCATGTCCCAGACCTACGCCCACAGCTGCCCCAGCAGCACCAGCCCCTCCTCCGCTCTTTACATGCACTTCCTCACTGCAGGTCCCTGGACGTCCCTGACAGGTATCACCACCACCCTCTTCTTAAGGGGGAAACGGAGGTCGTAGAGTTTAAGGCACCCGCATCTTTTTTTTTTTTGGCCACCCTGTGTGACATGAGGAACTTCCCTGACCAAGGATCGAACCCGTGTCCCCTGCAGTGGAAGCGCAGAGTCTTAACCACTGGACCACCAGGGAAGTCCAAGGCATCCACTTCTAAGGACTGGATGCCCCTCTGCCCCTCAGCCTGTGGTCTCCCTGCACAAGCACCTCTAAGCATCGCCCAGGAGGCAGCTGTCACTTGGAACCTCTGGAAAATCTTCCTTGGAAATCTCTCCGGAGCTTATGAATGGAAAGAACTCTCCCCGTGAAGATGGTGAAAGCACGGTTTTGTCCCCAAGTGGTTTTATTGAAATGGGGCAGCCTCTTGCCATCAGATCCAATTCAAGGTGACTGCGTCGCTCTCCACCCAGCACCAGCTCTGATAGCAACACACCACGGGGGCCTCTGTGGGGCAGCAGCTTCACTGCAAAGAGCACAGGCCCTTCTGTGGCTTTCCGTGGCCCCCCAGAGGGTGAGGCTGTTTATTGGGTCTTGTCAGTCCTGACAAAGTTGTTAAAAAAAAAAGCAGCCATGTCACTTTATAACGCATCTGAATAAACGCAGAAAAACCTCCTACCCCAATCAGAAAGTATTTCTTGAACCGTAAGGAAATGCATAATAATATATCAAGGTGCTGCAGGGAACTCTGGAAAAGCCACTTGGAAGGTCCCATCCTGTGCTATTTGCCAGATACGTCTCCTCGGTTTCTCCCTCCGGATACCCAACCCCGAGTCCTGGGCGGGCGCGAGGACCCCGGCACAGAGGAGCCTGGGTCTGCGGTCACCTTTTAAGATCTGATCAGAGCCAGAGTAATACATGAATATGTGACTCAATCAGTGCGTTAATAAATAAGGACTCGAGACGACTCCATGACCGGTGCAGGAAAGTACACTGGTATAATTTTAAAAGATTTTCAATAAGGGCTGGAACGTAGAGTTTTTTTTCTTGCCAACGCTCAGTTAACCAGGAAATTAAATCAACACGAACAGGAGGTTTCTCGTTAATGGCAGCTTTTCTGGATTGCGGTAATCACGCCCCTTAATAACAATGATAATCCCTGACATCCTCAAGGCACTTTATTCTTTTCAAAGCACTTTCTAGCCATTAGCTCATTTGGTGCCCATGCAAGCTGGGGACATGGGCTGGGCTGGGCTGGGCAGGGCAGGGCTGGGCAGGGCTGGGCAGGGCAGGGCTGGGCAGGGCTGGGCAGGGCAGGGCAGGGCAGGGCAGGGCTGGGCAGGGCGCTTTCTGTCTGCAATGAGGACCCCGAAAGCCCAGTGAAGTTGTGACTTGCCCAAAGCTGTGTGCCTGGCAATGCACAGAGCTGTGGCTGGAAGCCACAGTTCTGACTCTGCTTTCAGGTCCTGCCAAGACATCTGGTGACCTCTTTTTCGCCCGGGCTAACTGCCTTCCCATCTCATATATAAATTCGTCCTTGCAATATGCCCAAGAGGCAGGTGGGCTAGGTAGATCTGTCATGCCCGTGGCCTGGATGGGGTAGCCCAGGAGAGGGGGAGCCATCCTCCCTGTGTCCCAGCCCTCTGTTCTTTCTACCGACCAGCACACTGGCCTCCTTGGGCTGGGAGCTCCTGCCTGAGTCTGTGCTTGTCCAGACGGCAGCGTCAGCCACTGAGCAAGACAGAGTAGGGATCAAAGGGATGCAGGGGCCCGCAGGCCACTCAGGGCTTCCTCTGATCACAGCCCCTGGAGCAGACGCCCAGCCCTGCGGGAGGAAGCCAGGATGCCAGATGTCTGGGAAATGAAAGGCCCTTAGCTCTCTGCCCCACTGCCCCACTGAGCGCAGCCTGGGCACCTGGAAAAGCTGTGGGAAGCCAGGGCAGTGGGAGGGCAGGCGGGGGCCTGGGAAGCAAAGGGCACAGAAACCATGCACCGAAACCCCCAGAACTTGAGCTCCTGCCCCACAGTACCCAGACTCTCCTATCTCAGGAAGTCCCATTCCTTCCTTCAGGGTCCAGCTCCATTTCTGCATAACCAGCCTCCACCTACTCTTTGAGGACAGGCACAGGCTCGACGCCTCTTCCTCCAGGAAGCCTTTCTGGATACCTCACCCTCTGTACCTCCACCACAGCAGGGTGGAGATTGGGTAGAGATTGTGTTAATAGTCTGTAAGCTTCCTTCATCTGCTCAAGCACAGGGACAGTGCACGGGAGCTATCACAGCATCTGGCAATGCCTGCTGTTCATTTCTTTTTTGCAGAGTTGAATCAGGCTGGCTTTGGATCTTCTATCCGTACTCTTCCCAGACTTGTGCTCAGCTGACACCTGGTTTTGGTTTTCTGTGTCTTCGAAGGGCAGGGCAGCTTCTCTGAACACAGGGTGTTCGTCGGAAGCTAAGAGGCAAGGCTGGTTCTTAACCTTTCCTGGGTCTAAGGCCTCTGATAATTTGCTGAAAGCTGTGGCTTCTCCACTCCCAGCCCAGAAGAACTCCCCAAGGCGTATCAACGCTGCATTGCAGGAGCGCACAGACCCGGTGGTCTGTGGACCCCACATCTGTAGCCAGGGACTTAAAGATTCAAGATCCACTGTGGCCCCTTTCAACTCAGGGGATGCGCCCAACACGTACATCCCCTTCCCAGGAGCCTCCATCCTGGGCCTTGTGCCTTGATACAATTAGGAGAAGGCCCCAGTCCCTTACGGGATCAAGGAGGCTGGGTTTGGGATTCTTCAATGCAGAAGCAGCCTGCGTCATGCTTTATATCTTTAACGCAAATTCCATCCCAGGGCCTGGAGCTCCTGAGGCCGAAGCTCCTGAGTTGAACTTTAAATAACGGCTTCCTGGCTTGAGGCTGGTTTTAAGACACAGAGCGATTGAGGTATTTTTGGAAATTGGGGGCACACATCACTTCTTGGCAACGTTGCGATTTTATTCACTAGTTGTACATTTTATTGGGTGTTTCTGGCAGAAATATATATTAGGCGTAGAGTCCCAACGTTTCAGTTTCATGGGGGGCTTATAACATTGTCAGATCCTCAGGGAGTGCGGAGCTGTCGGCAGGGAGGGGCAGGCTGGTTCCAGGGGACACGAGGACACCCCCCGCCAGACCCACCCAGACTCTCGGTTCTGGACGGCTGTGGAGCCGGCCTGCCTACCCTCCCCCACCCCCACCCCCGGGCTGACATCCTCTAATGGTTCCCTGGGGTTTACCACCCACGTCAGACTTTGCAGGTCGCAGGTCGCATCCAGAGGCTCCTCCCCGGGCTACAGAATGTCCATGAGGATGCAAGAGGCCGTCCCCGTGAGGAGACGGTGGCCTTGGAAATGAACCCCCTGCCATGTGTCCAGGAGGCCTGTCTGGGAGCCCAATAGGGTGGCTGTGGAGGGGAAGCTGTGGATAAGTGAACGTCTCAGAGAACTTCCGTAACTTTCTGGAAAGAGCCACGGACTAGGAGACCCCCTCCCTCCCTTTTGGTGCCTCAAGTTCTTCACCTGTAGAAGGACACAGGCTGTCCCCCTCCCCTGCCCACCATCAGGCTGCAGCAGGGGCCATGATGGGGCCTTGGCGAGGTGCGAAGTCCCGTCCATACAGGGTCCCGCTGTTCTAACTTCTAGGTGTCACCGAACCCCGAAACAAACAAAACCCTGGTGTTTCTCCGGAGAGCACGACCGGAGTCGGCTCCTGGCAGGCAGTCTACACACTTACAACACGCACCTTCTTGCTGACAGTCCGTCTGCCCCGACGTTCCTCTTACTGTCGTGACGCCCCTTCCTCTCCAGGCCTCGCAGCTGGGCCTTCATGCCCCACACCCCTTAGCACCCTCCGCCAGCTTCACGGCCTTCAGCCCCCCACGTTCCAAGGGTTCCTCGATTTCTCCGTCCAGCCCCACCTCCCGGCTCTGCTCCAAGCTCACCTGTCCCACTGCCCATCGATAGCTCTTGTTGGGACCTCAAAATGCCCCCGGCTCACGTGGCCCAGCCTGACGGCCGCTCCCCACAGCTGGCCCACCCCGGGCTCCACCCAATGACCAATGACACCCCCTGCCCTCAGCGGCCCAGGTCAAAGCCCTTCTCCTCACTTCCTCTCCCTCCAATCCGTCCATCACCAAGCTCTGTCAATTCTCCCCCTCAGGTAAGCCTGCCCCACCCACTCAGCCCTACCTCCCAGGAGACCACCCAGTCCGGGCCCCTCCCCCGGCATCTCCTCACTTCCTCTCTCCCCTCCCTCCCCATCCCTCTCCCAGCCCCAGCAGGCCTGACCCTCTGATTCTGGCACCGGCTTCCTGGCCCGAGAATGAGCCCCACACTCCTGACACGGTCACAGGGCCCCGCCGTCTGTTTTCCTCTCCAGCCACTCACGCCCCGTTCCTGCCACCCACGTTCCCCGAATCTGCAGCGTGCGTTCTCTCCTGAGCTGTGCTCTCTGGCTGGTAGGCTCTGTGCCACCCGTTGGCGTGAGCATCAATGCCACCTCCTCTTGGACGCCGTATTCAGAGACCCCCTCAGACATGGTGCCACCCTGC